GGCAATCTTCAGTGAGGTAGCCCCTCAGCCCAAGCTCTGAAGAGTCCCCCTGCCTCCAGAGCAGGTGGCAGTGGAGTTGGGGGATGCTGGGGAAGATTCATTTACAATTGCCTTAATCTCTGTTCTGCTAACAGAAGGCTCTATTTGGATCAAAGGTTTGACAGAGGGATATCAACTGGTTTGCAACCATAATGCATTTTTAATTAAACATTTTAAGTCAAATTTGCTGCCTTTAATACTCAGGCATGAGATAGTGGGACATAAATGTACATATAGATTTGGCATAATCAACTGATTCTCACAAGACTCAGTTCTGCAGTTCTCTTTCCCACTCTGCACAGCTTTGGCAAAGTACTTGTACTGAGGTAAAAATGACCTGATACAATTACCTTTGCTTGTGGAACAGAGCAAGTTCACAGATTTCTGTTGTAATTCTCTATGCACAGGCATTATTGGTACACGATGTCTACTTCTGCTGTATCAGTATTATAATGAATAAGAATAATAATGATTTTATTATTATAACTGTTTGTTATAACTGTTCAATCTGATGGACCAATCTGCCAAACCTTACTAAACCATATTTAGCATCTAATTTCTTTCTGTGCTATTTTACTAACTACTTAAAGCTTTAATGTATGTATTTTTAAGCTTCCCTGCAGAATTGACACATTATTTTAAATTACCAGGTTGGCAAAGTAGTTCCCACTGTCATATGGAGTATGAGAACAGAAATGAAGAGAACATGCAATTTGAAAGTAGCTTACTAAAAAATGTATCTATCCGTCGTCACTACTCCAGGATCAAAACTCAGAATCCATTTGATGTATCTGATGGTAGCAGTCCGGAAGTACTTGAGCAGATAACAGAATGTTGCCAACAAGATGAACGTGGCCCTGAGTCAGGCTTGGTGAAAAATAATGAACAATATGAAGAAACTTACGTTTCTCAAGAGAAACATAAGATAAACACAGACAAAACTTTGGAACAGCCTAATATGTTACCTGAATCAAATACCCCAACAGCAGCCCCCAAACAAACTGATTTTAAAATTGTTGGAGGTTCTCAAACACACAAAGAGAGAGACCAGAAAAGAAAATTGGAAACAAAAACTAGGTGCAGGACAAGGTCCAGAAAAGAGAGAAGCCATAATAGGAAGTGCTGTTCCAAAGCAAAAACAGATAGATCAACTGGTTCCAATGATGCTTATGATTTTGTTTTTGAGGAGTGTGTCCATATCACACCTTTCCGACAAAACAAAGTTGAAGAGAATAACGTCCAAGAAAAAAATAATAGAGAAGAATCAGAAACTTCTTGTGACGAATCATTTGCTTCAGAAGAGGACTCTGATGATAGTCAGTATGTGCCTTGCATGAAAAAATCCAGGAAAAGCTTAGAATGCACAACTGATGGCAGCCCAAGACACACAAGGCAACAATCAAAGAACGCTGTGAATGAACAGCATGGCAGTAGTCCTGAGGGGGAAAACAGGAATACTAAAAAATCTGTTAATTCTGCAGATAAGGAAAATGTTGAAAGTAAGTTATAATTTTGTTTTGAAAAAAATCTGTATGTGAATAAGCATAGAGATACCGACAGCTAACTCTGAAAAGTTTAGAAATCTAAATTTGATCAAACACAATAGGATTTCTCTTTCTTTGGCTGCAAAAAGGATAAATCTAATTTGCACAAATGGAATGCCACAACTGGATATTTCCTGTAGTTTTTTCTCCACTTTAGAATTGCGAGGAAGAGGGCTAACTAGACCAGCGGTTCTCAACCTTCTTGAGTCCACAGCTCCCTTCACCAACCACATTCTTTCTGTGGCTCCGCTGTGGAAGCCACTTACACTGGGATTGTTACAGGATGCACATAAGTGGGGATTTTCTACCCCCAGCCCTTTTTGGCACCATTTTTGGTGCACATGTAAGTGGGAGCGCACGTGCTGACTGGAACCCAAACAATGCCACTGCTTTGCAGGGCTGAGCTGACGCACCCCACCTGGCAACCTGTGTGTGCCTTTCCTGAAATTAGCGTGCACATAATGGGGGTGGGTGGGACGGAGAGGGCAATACTAGAAGCAGAAATATTTTGTCATTATGGGGAAGGAAACCGAGAAACACAGCACAGGACACACATTCAGACATGCTCCTTTCCTGCAACATTCTCCCTGTCCCCATAAAGCTGGGTGACTCTTAAGGAGGGTGGTGTTGCCGGGGGGGGGGGAGAGATAGAGAAGAAGAGGGGGGAGGGATGTTGGAAGTAAGAACGAGTGAGAAATAGAAGACACTCTTCATTTTCAGGGTTATTTTTAAATCCCTCAGAACACACATCCAGGCTACTTTGCTGTTTTCTTGCATTTCTCATGCCCTCTGTGTAAAACTATGGAACTGTTAGTTACTGAAGCTGGGGAGGATTTTTGTTGGGGGAGATTCTAAGAAGATAAACAGTCTTGCAAAAGTGTCTCCACTTTATTTGCCACTTTTATTTCAGGAAGATAATGAGCTGCAAGTTAAATCTGCCGGCTCCCCTAAACGTTCCCCAGAAAGAACGACATAATGCAGGAAGATACAGGCTGCAAGTTAATGAAAGGATGGCCCTCAGGGCTCCCCTAAATGTTCCTCAAGTCCATGGTGCCACAGCACACTGGTGGAAAACCAATGAACTAGACACAAACATGCTCATGTTCTTACATTTTGTCTCCCAATAAAGAGCACTCGCCCTCTGGAGCTTCCCAGAGGGAGAAAGAATAGCCATACTCCTTTTCCTGGTTGATTTGCACATCATAAGCTATTAAAAAAATGCCTAAAAGAAAACACATAATTTGCACACATTTTAGTCTTATAACCTGTAAAAGGTGGGAAAGCAGCATGTGGGCCAGATCCTCAGTTCCCCCACCTCCCACAGGCAAACTTTGGAAGTTCAAAGGATTTCCTGGTAACCACCAATCACCCTTTGAACTCCCATTTGCAGGCATGGTTTGAAATCGATTCTTGTTTTCCAGCAAGAGCCAAGTCTGGTTTTATCATGAATATTGGTTGTTGTCATCTTAAAAATCGAATAAACTTAACATTCTGCAGAATTCATATACAGAGCTTTACCAATATTAAGGTGTTGTTTGGAGCCACAGGAAGAGGGTTTGTTTAAAGCTTATTCATTGCTGACATTAACATTTAAACATTTTTCTCCCAGCAGATAAACCATCTAGGGCTCTTGAAAAATGTCATCCCTGTTTCAGTGATATTACCAATTTCGAATCAACTTCTATCCAAACTAGAGTTTCTCACCCACTGATGAGTACTGGAATAAAAGGTACTCCTCGAAAGAAACGTAGGTGTACTGATCGTGTGAGTTATAAGGAACCAAGTCTCAGCAGGTCAGTATATTTGTTTCTAAATGGATATGCACCGGTTTCTTTCAAAAATTTATTGTATAATTTAGTTTTTAGAAATTTGTTGCATTAGTTTAGAATTAAATTTTGAATATAAAATCCAACCTTGCTTATGAATCTGACTTGCTTATGAATTTAGTTATGAGGCAAAGTAAGAATTAAAGGTAAAGGTACCCCTGCCCGTACGGGCCAGTCTTGACAGACTCTAGGGTTGTGCGCCCATCTCACTTAAGAGGCCGGGGGCCAGCGCTGTCCGGAGACACTTCTGGGTCACGTGGCCAGCGTGACGAAGCTGCCCTGGCGAGCTGGCACCAGCGCAGCACATGGAAATGCCGTTTACCTTCCCGCTATAAAGCGGTACCTATTTATTTATTTGCACTTAAGGGTGCTTTCGAACTGCTAGGTGGGCAGGAGCTGGGACCAAAAGATGGGAGCTCACCCCGCCGCAGGGATTCGAACCGCCGACCATGCGATCGGCAAGCCCTAGGCGCTGAGGATTTACCCACAGTGCCACCCGCATCCCTAAAGTAAGAATTACATGAATGCTTTCAAAACTAATGTACTATTTTGCTTTGATAGGAAGCTCAGAAGAGGAGACCCTTTTACAGATAACATCTTTCTGGATTCTCCAATTTTTAAGCAGAAAAAGAGCCGCATGTGTAATTCTCTTAAAAAGAAATCACTGCCCAGATCTAATGAGGTATTTGAATGCGTTGGTTGATTTTAATAACATTTTTAGAGAACAAACCCTTTAACTTGACAATTTAAGTAGTTGTATTGATATAAAGGTAAAGTGTATTTGCTGAAATATCATTACTGGAAAATCTTAACTATGTACATAAAACAGCTTTTAGATTTTAACACACCCTGGCCCAACACAATGCACATACAGTTGAAATTTATGTAATATATGAACAACTAGATTTTATATTAAAAATTGTAAACTTCAAATTTGTTGATGTATTTAGTGTTTTTTTCCTAGTTTCATGTTACACAGGAAATGGGGATTTCTTTTTGCTTGAAATGTAGATTAATGTAATTCTACTTTTATAGCAAATCTTCAGATTACAGATTTAACTGTTGAAAGTCTTTGTAGTGTTTTCTAAATGATCATATTGAAATAAAATTGTCAATGTTTTTGAAAAAGATAGCTATTTTAGTTTGCTATCTCAGTAGTGCTATTGTTCCAGCATCCATTCCGTTGTGTTTGTTCCGATGTTTCACTTTAACTGCATAAGGATAGTAGCACAGCTATCTTAAAAAGATTCCAAGGTGCATTCTTACGCAGTTACTTGGAAGTAAACCCTACCGATCACAATGATTCTGAGTAAACATGAATAAGCTTACCCTCTGGCTGTCCTCAATCTACGAGTAGGTTCCAAGGGGTGAATTGGAATGCTCAATTTATAAGCCAACCTTTTTTGTGCACTTCATGTGAACATGTAATGAAGTTTCTTTTGGTAATAGTTGCACTTTCTTCAATTCAGATCTATTATTGGGGGGGGGGGTCCACAGGAAAACAGATTAACTACATGGGATAGCATAGTGTTTGGTTCTTACCATCTGAAAGTGATGGTACACTTGTCAGAAAGTCTATTCACACAAGTTAAATATTTCAGGGGTTTTTTATATGCAAAGTACGAAATAGCACACAAGATTAATTTTATACATATAATTTAAAACCATTTTTATACCAGAACAATAAATAATTTTACAAATGTAGAATTTCACTTAAAGCATTTTTAAAACACATCGTACTATATAGCTTTATTGCACAATATCTATGAAAATAATCTTTAAATTAGAAACCAAATGTTCTCAATATAGAAGAGACTCTAATTTCAAGACAATAAGAATATTTGAAAATAACACTTTCACAGGATATCAAACTTAAGAGGTGATTTTGTTGGCCCAGTTTACAAAATAATTGAAAATTACTACTTAAATACTCTAACACACAGCTGCATCATTGTACCTTAAATACAAAGCCAAATAAATTGATTTTTATATAGAGCACTAAGGCATTTATATGTTATCATTTTGACTTCATTTTGTACCGTTACCTAGCAAGGGTAATCTAATCTTAGAATAAACACTACCATAGCCATTTTGAAAATATATTTCTCTTGTAAATCTGTTTGGCAATTTTTTTACATCAGTTTTGCTAGTGAAATATTTCAGCGCATATAAAAACAATGAAACTAGTTCTTGAATGCCTTTGTATAAATTAGGAGAAAGAAATAAAATGAATAAATTTACTTTCTTGGGTGTTGCAGAATTGCTGCCTGCTCACATTCAAACAAGTGAATATTTCCTTCCCTTGCCTACCTGAATGAAGGAGTAACTCCAATATTTAATGTAATGAGTAGGTAAAATACAGAAGTAATGATCAATAACGTTCTAGTAATACTTCGGTTGAAAATCGGTTTAATGTAAGCAAAATAATCCCTATAAACACTGGGAGAGGTGGGTGTGCTCAAAACTACTTTTATGGGGAAGTTCACGAAACCTTTGAAAGTATCAACAGTATTGATCTAGAAAGTGTTGAACACAAGCATTAAATAATTTGTGGTAGTAGCAGCTAGAGAGACATTTCCATTGGGTAAGGATAGTAAAGGAAGATCATGGGCTAGTCAAATGCACATGTAAATCTGCATGTGCTTTGGTTTCATATGTATGTCAGTCACATCTGGTCAGTGGAGGAGCTTCATGCTCTGGCACTGGGGGGCGGGGTGTGCTGCCCTCAGGGCGCAGGTGGGGGGGGAGGCAGCCATGGTGGCACCCCACTGGAATCACGCTGCTGGGGGCGGTGCGCTTCCTCCGCCAGTTCATCTGGTGACATCTAGTGTTAGCCTATGTGTGTGAAAATCAAGACTATCTCTTTTCACCCAAGTACTGCAGGACCAAGTGTGACTTTAAGGGAAGAATGGCTTTTCAGGGATAAAGGTATGTAAAAACTTATGCAGACAAAGCATTTGCTGGATTAGGGCATAAAGGTAGAAATGGTTATCGTTTATCTGAATTAAGCTTTTGCTGGCACTACAAAAGTTTTAAAAAGTGGTTTGTGACTACCACAGATTTTTTTGGAAATGACCTAACACAGTCAAAGTCAGATGATGCTACATATTTAGATTTTCTTTGCAAACTCTAATATTAAAGAATCAAATTCACAGAGAAAGTTTGAACCTACTGGGGTTTGTGTATCTTAGAGGATTTCTCTTTCATAGCACCTTCTTACTTGAGTGTTTCATTAAAATATATATAAAACTCATTTCCCCCTTCATTAGCATCTTTTGTAAAAAATAAAAAGCTATTTTACAATTTGATACTGCATTACATTAAGCTTAAACATTCACTGCTTGGAAAAAATTCCCTTTTCAAATCCCCAAACAGTTTGTGCAATACTTCTAATAAAAATGTATTATTGAATACACTGCAAAAGGGCATGCAAGTGTACATTTAAAAACTTTAATAAAATAAACTCTTCTATATTACATGTTTTAAAAGTGCTAGTAAATAAAATGTTTTTTTAAAACCACAAATTTCAATTCTATTCAAAGATCAACTGCATATTCTGCTCTTAAATTAGGCATCTTGATTGCATGAGAGAAGGACTGATTACTTGTCAATTAACCCAGCTTCTTTAATTTTTGTGTAGAAGAATTTCTCCAATATATTGGCACACTTGTAGTATTCACTTTCAGGAGGGTTGTACTCTCTGCAGTTTGTAAAGACTCGCTGCAGATCTGCCATGAATAACTTCTTAGACACGTAGTATCTGTTCTTCAGTCGCTCACTCATCGTTTTCAGATCTGTATAAAAACAGAAAAATCAAGTCTTGTTCCTACAATAGTAATATATCCTAGACTTGAATTTTTTTACTATTGTCATCCTCCCCACCCTGTGCTTCTTTAGTGAAAAAGTCCTGTTTCAAAAGTGCTCTTACAGACCTCCTAATTCCTATTTTAAAATGTACACACTGAAAATAGGCTGGTGGTGAGAGCTCTTTCCCCCATTTTTATTTTATTTAAACCTTGGCCCATGGTGATTACCAGACTACAGTTGGAATCATTCCAGGAAATATGAATTATGGGAAATGGGGGAACACAGTGGCCAGAGTTGTGATATGACTGCCACTACGGGCTGCAGTTTGAAAAGTATTTTTAAAAAAACCCCACCATCATGGTAATTCCCCCCCACCAGCCAGACCTGTGGCTCCCATCCCCTGAAATTAAATCATTTGGGTCGGTGAAAATCTCAGTAGTGAAAACTTGTAATTATTTGGAGGGTAGGGCAAAGGTGTTACTGTAAGCTATATATAAAACACTTTTCTACTATCCAAAGTTCTGTTACTACAAGTAATTTCCACTTACACAGACTACTAGGGTAGTCTTTATCATAAGGGAAAGGTTTGATCTCTAGTATCTCCAGGTAGGGGTGGGAATATTCCTGTCTAAAATCCTGGAGACCACAGCCAGTCAGTGAAGATAATACTGAACTAGAAGGACAAATGTTCTGACTCAGTATACGGCAGCTTCCTTTTCCTGTTTCCTTTTGTACTATAAATGCAAGAACTGCTGCACTGTTGCAGTGCACTGCAAGAAACTTCAGACGTTTGTGCAAGATTTCATGGAGCAGTATAAATGAATACCCCCTCCCCACGTACTCTTGGTTTCTGGGAGCAAAGCCTATATACTCAATTTGCTTCTGATTCATTGGATGCTCTACTTTTTAAAAAGTTGATGGCCTTACCCATGGGGAACCTTATAACTTCATAATATCCAGGAGCTTCTGTTCTCTTCACTGGTTCCATGAATGGCCAAGCGCTTTGATGGCTCTGGTAGATGGGAGAAAATACACTCATGTAACAACGCTCAATAGCGGGAAAAGGTTTCAAAATATTTACAGAAAATTAATGCTCACCTTGACCTGCTGTAGAATGTTTTTTAGTGTGCTGTAAAGCTGATCTGGATCTTTGGGTTCTTTACTTGAAAAAAAAAAAAGAAAAGTAGACAAGATTTAAATGTATGATTTGTTTAGTTTTGTAATGCTATTTAATTAATAAATGCAATCGCCCACTACAGTGGTACCCCGCAAGACGACCGCCTCGCGAGACGAAAAACTCGCAAAACGAAAGGTTTTTTCGTTTTCGAGTTGCCTCGCAAGACGAATTTCCCTATGGGCTTGCTTCGCAAAACGAAGCTTGCCCCGGGGACAGCGGGTCTTCTCTTTTGAAGCAAGGGGCGGCGGGGAGAAGCGATCTTCTCCCCGCAGCCCCAGGTCCGGGGACAGCGGGAAGCGCTTCCCGCTGCCCCCGGACCTCTTTTGAAGCAAGGGTTTGAGGGGAGATCGCTTCTCCCCACCGCCCCTTGCTTCAAAAGAGGTCCGGGGACAGCGGGAAGCGCTTCGCGCTGCCCCCGGACCTCTTTTGAAGCAAGGGTTTGCGGGGAGAAGCGATCTCCCCGCAGCCCCTTGCTTCTAAAGAGGTCCGGGGGCAGCGGGAAGCGCAGCGCTTCTTCCCCGCTGCCCCCGGACCTCTTTTGAAGCAAGGGGCTGCGGGGAGATCGCTTCTCCCGGTGCTCCGAAGCCGGGCGGGGGGGAGGGAACACCTTCTGAAGGCAGGCGGGGGGCAAAAGTCTTTGTCCCCCCTGCCTGCCTTCCCAGGGGCTTTTAAATCGCCCCGGACAGCGGAGAAGTCCTCCGCTGTCCCGGGGCGATTTTAAAATGCCACCCGCCAGCATTTTAAGATCGCCCGGACAGCGGAGAAGTCCTCCGCTGTCCCGGGGTTTTTTAAAATGCTGGGGGTGGGAAGAAAAGCCCTTGTCCCCCCCCCCAGCCTTCAGAAGAGGTCCGGGGACAGACTGTCCCCGGACCTGGTCTGAAGGCGGTTTCCCTAGGAACGCATTAATTGATTTTCAATGCATTCCTATGGGAAACCGTGCATCGCAAGACGAAAAAACCGCAAGACGAAGAGACTTGCGGAACGAATTAATTTCGTCTTGCGAGGCACCACTGTAATTAAAAATGTACTTTAGTTACTTAGCAATTGTGCAACACATCAGTGCTTCACAGGTACAGTACAGGTGAACTCTAGAAGGCTTTCTTCATTGTCGAAAACAACGCTTACCCTTTTTCTTTACTGCTTGGTTTCCAGCCAGTATCTCCTATATAGCAAACAAAAGTGAAGCATTTAAGAATAAATTACATTAGATTACAAAGTAACTGAGTTGATGTGGACCTATCATAGAATTATATTGCATCCTTACTGAAATACCAATCAAAAGTAACAGCTACAGTATTTCCAAGTCCACCCAGTTTGCTTTAGTCAGCACTCCAATATTCAATTATTTGTTCAAGTATGTCTAAGTAGGATAAACCACAAAATTCTGTGGACTGCCCCGAGATCTTTTGAAGGGCAGTATACAAATCTGAAGAAATTATTTTTTTAAAAAACTGACTAATTTATCTATTCATCCTACTTTAGTAAAAATAATCTAATCCTACATGCCCAATGCTGCCCCCTCCCCAGGCTATGTGGCAAACCGCTTTTGAAACTGAGAGGACTTTCAAACACAGTTTGGAATATGGAATGGGGTTCTGCTATTCAAGGGTGGGGAGAGTAACATCTGCAATTCTAATCAGTTATTTAGGAGTATGTCCCATTGCACTAATTTATTCAGATGCAAATTCCAAAGGACAGCATCCATTGCTGCTTTCTGCAAGCTGTAGCCCTTGTCTATTTAGAGGCCTTTCATGAATTCTTCCCAACCTCCTGGAAAAGGTTTTAGGCGTATGGGGACTGCAGCGTAGAGGAAGGGGCAGGAGCTGCTTGCTCTGTTGCAGAAGCAGGCTTCTTGTGTAACTGGATGCTTGCTAACAATCCCATGTGAATTTTCTTTACAGAATTGAGCTGCGCTCTGTGGGACCTACTTCTGAGTAGGTTTAGGACTGCAATGAAAATCTGTGTAGAGGCAATGATCATTTTGCGTAGCGGTTCCTGAACCCTGTGTGTGTCGGTGGAGCACACATAAGCCCACCCCCTTTTCTGGCCACTTCCGCATTGCAACAATGTGCACATTGTGCATATACTGGACAAGCATAAAACAGTTGTTGCCTGTACTAGATAGCAGGACACAAAACATCTGATGGAGAAAGCACTGGCTGTACAGTACGGCATAAAAGCCTGTGGCTACAAAAATAAACCCAACATGTGCATAAAACATCACAGAGCCTCAGATTCAAATATAATCAACTACTTTTAATGCATTATTTCAAAAGTGGTATAGAATTGTTATGAATAACTAGAAGCAAGTCACTTCAACAAAAGAAATTCTCAAGTTTAAACTGAAAAAGAATGAACCCAATTATAACTGATGTATGATGGTACATACTAATTCCGGGAATGCTTTCTATGGGAATCTGCCGTACACCATCTTTGAAACAAGAAAGGCCAGGATAAACTTTCCGAATCTGAGCTTGCTTCCTTTCGATCAACTTTTTAATAATCTGCAACAAAAGTAACATGGAAATTATACTTTTGGGGTGAAGGAAGTAGATACTGCACCAATAGGCATAGATGAGTAAAGGGGCATTAGAGGTGCTTATGATTTCTATGGATCTAGGTGGCCTCACATTAGGAGCAGGCTTGAGTCACATCTCGGTCTGCAGTGTGATGCTTATCCATGCTCTACTGAAAGCATGGCTGCTGCACAAAACCAGTCGCCTCCAGCTAAAGATGAACCACAACTAGGGACTTCACTTAGGTGTGTTTATACATCTCAGCTTTCTTCCATCATGGAACTCAAGGTGGCAAGCATGTGGTTCCCAGGTAGTCTCCCATCACTCAACCTCTGACCATGCTACGGGACAATGGCATTAGAGGACTTTTGTACACCAAATTAAAACAGGTTACACTGTCGGAGTAAAAATTAAGGATGTTCCGCTTTTCATTTTAAAAGCTGCTCTTTTATTGCTGCGAGGCAGCCTTTGGTGGTAGGCCTACCTGGTCCATGGAACCACTACGCTAGGCGTGGCTAACCTCTGCCCCTGCCTCAAAGACCCCTGAGAATTTGGTGGTTGTGGAGGCACAAAAAAACCCCTTCACCCTCCCTCACCAACAGCACAGGGGATCTGTCATTGAAAGACGGAGCACTTGGCGTAGGCTTCTGTTGCTGGGATGGGTGGAGAGTAATGTGGAGAACACATGGAAAGTTGTCCTGAGCTTGCCAATTGAAGGTCATGGGTTCAAATCCCACTTCTGCCATTGTTTGTGTATATGTGCTAAAGTCATCATGCAAACTTTTTTGGCCGCTGCTATGTGGCTCTCACGAGAGGTCCCCAGAAGGCAACGCTATCCTCTGGTTGAAAAAGATTAGCCACCCCTGTTCTACGTTATATGCTGTGAACAGGCAGAGCAATCCTATGCATGCTTACTCAGAAGGAAATCCCACTGCTCAACCGAGCTTACTCCCAGGAAAGTGTGCATAGGATTGCAGCTTTAAATAGAAAACAATATTTATAAACGGGGGGGGGGTGTCAAAAATTCTAGTAAAACCTTTTTATTTGTCCAGGCTTTTTGAATTACTGTATTTTTTTTACCTGGCTAAATTATTTTATTCTTCTCAATTTTCATCAGTCTCATTCTGAGAGCACTGCAGGGCTGATAGTGACCCAACAGGATCAAATCTGAGCTACTGGGGCCAATTCAGGGTGGAATATAATTCAACAAATAAATAAATGTTGCTGTGTTTTTGTATAGTTGATCTGTGTTGTTTTAATGTTGTATAGCAGATGAAAAAAAATCTTTTTTAAAAAATAATATTAATTAAGATTTTAAAAAACAGACATAAAATTCGACAATACAATTCACAAAAGTCACTAATAACAGTCTAAAAAAGATAAAAGAATAAAATAGAAAACACACACATAAAAAATGAATATATATATTAAAAAAGAGAGGAAGTGACAATAGTTAAATATAAAAAGAAAACAAAAAGAGTTTAAGATTAACTCAATCTTTCAATCATCCTTTATCTTATTTCCTTGGTTCTTTGACCTCCTCACACCTCCCCTTTTGTATTCCCATTTAAAAAAGTCCTTTCAGCAAATCCTTACCCCCTGTCATTTTTCATAACTCTATATCATCACCTATTGTAAATATATATTTTTAACCATTATCAATCCATGCTTACATGTTCTTAAAAAAAAAAACTTTTTACCAATACCACTTATTTTCCATCCAACATCATTTTAACATTCCTTAATTTTGCAGTATTTCTGCAAGTAGTCTTTAAATTTCTTTGAGTCTTCTTCCACCGACTCTTCTCCCTGGTCACGGATTCTGCCAGTCATTTCAAATCTCTTTTGAACGAAGGTGCAGTTTATATATTCTTCTGATAAAGTAAGGCTGGCTTGTAACACAACGAGAAGAAAACCCACATTTGTGTACCAAACTGCCAAATTAACACTTCACTACTTTCCATTTCTAACAAATATCGTTCCATACATCAGTATTTTTTGCCTGTAAGAAAAGGAAAGGAATGCTTTCCCATTTCCAAAGCCACTCAGAACAAGCCCGTCTGTCAAAGTTGTGCAATAAACCATATCTCTAAGAAATACTTGCGGGGCAGGTACTAGTAATTCGTGTTTTAAAAAATAATAAAATAAAACATTTGGTTTACATATTTTTTTTTTTACCTCTTTCTGCTTCTTAATGATGACTGAGAATTCGGTGTAAGGGATCCTTGGGTTTAGTTCACATCCCATTAAAGTTGCTCCTTCATAATCCTTGATATAGCCAACGTATTTTGCTTTTGGTACTTTTATGTCTTTTGAAAACCCCTAAGGGAAAGAAGAGTCATTGTCAACGCACTTTGTTCACCTGCTTTCCAGCAGCCTTTTGGAACCACTGTGAGGTCCGTCCCCGTCCCCACCCCACCATGGAAGCCTTGTGGGCTTTTGCCTTGTGGGCTTTCAAACCACAACTCTTGAGCCCAGATGAATATATAATTCACCAACTTACACATGCTGAAATACACATATACCTGCGGCCACTATATACCACAGTGCCCATTTTAGACTGAGTTCACTCTCTACCTCAGATTTTCAAAGTCGCCCTGCAAGCTACATAGGGCCTCAGGAAGACCTCAAAAAGGAAACAATGAAAGAAACCCAAATGGCATATAGATGTTCCAAAAACCTGTGCAATAAAATTAAAGGGGAAAGATCCCTGATGGAACTTCAATAGATGTGGATAGGATGCCTACGACTGACAGCAGTTCTACAAGGAAGGAGATGTGAGTAAGTTGAGTGCCCAAAGGCAGAGACAAAAATCCCGCACTGGTTCAGCTGCCCTCTCTCGATTTTTTGAAATGGAATGCATTAACTGCTACTCTCATGTGCATATTCTTGAAATATGCTTTGAAGAATTAGAGTATATATCCAGTCCCTGTTTGGAGGAAGGAGAGCGGTCACTCAACACATTTTTTTTCAATGTAACAGCAGAGCACAATTTCAACAGGGAAGTTTGGCATTAGGTCATCATTCTACTGCATAAGAGCAAGCATGATACCCATTTAAAAATGTAAATGCCCCCCAAATTGTGGATGGGATGGGGTGTTGCCTGTTAACGACATTGGCCGTAACCCTATACATTAATTATCTGGGATTGAATTCGGTGGAATATACTTCTAGGGAGATATACTGGATTTTGCGGTAAATTAAAAGTGTGTTTGGGAAATTCGTTCAAAATACAGAATGCTCCATTAATGTTCACTGCCATTCCTTGGAAAACCTACTTATTAACAATATTTCTAATCGGACCTAACAAAAATGTTTGCAGGACACTTTACAAAATATTAGGAACACAGGAATAAAATAATTCTGTGGAACAGGAAAAAATGCAAAATGTGAAACTATGTGAAAGCAACAGTACAATCTCCAGTTAATCCTGGAGCTAATTCCTGTTAATTCTCCAGTTAATAGCTGGTGGGACACAAATTTCTTCCTCCCAGTTGTCTTTTGAGAAGCAGGGGAAAACATACAGATCTCTGAGGGAAGTGTATCCCATAATTCTGGGGCCGCCACAAAAAAAAATAAAAATCCTGGCAGATTACAACCTTACCTCCTTAGAGAATGAAGTCCAATTTATGGCTCTGGCTATAGGAGGAGAACTTAAACACCACTTCACCTGCATAATAGTGGCTTCTTTAGGATGATTTCCCACCACCACCCAGTGATGTCTAGTATTGGTTACTAACTGACTGTTCCCTACCAGCCCCAGATACCCTGTTGGGTGTGTGGGACTGGTGCTAAAACTTTATCGAGTGCAGAAGAGTCACATGATAGCTGCACTAGACAATAAAGCTCATGAATGGCTTTAGGAAGCAGGCAAAGCATGGGTTTACACGCACCGCTCTCCAGATTCAAGGAATAACATCGTTTTCCACTCAAACATTTGGTCACCGTCCACCTGAAAGACTTCTCCATCTTAGCAAACCGTTCTTAAAATTTCAGTCCCTCGCACAGGATTAAAAGCACTGTCTCAGGGCTACTTACTTGCTTCTTGAAGTAGCCAATTGCATATTCATCTGCATATGTGAGGAAGTTGAGAATATTGTGCTTAATGTGGTACTCCTTCAGGTGATTCATTAGGTGAGTTCCATATCCCTGCACAGAAATTAGGAGGACAATTTATTTTCTGCGAAATGCAACAAGCCAAAAACCTTGAAGCTCATATGTAAGAATTTGAGGACAAAATAACTTTTAATCAAAGAAACATATTGGGACACCAGGAATGCTGTGGGCGCCAGAATAACATGCTTCTGACTTCCAGGACGAAGGGCTGCTGATTTTCCCTTTTCAACTGCACATGCACACTGAATTCTGCCTCAGAGCCCAGCCTCTCGAGAAGCTTCAGGGTAGAAGCTCTCAGGCCCTGCAATGGGAAGGGAAGTTTAAATGTTCTGCTGTGTGTGCCAAGTCTGCACAAAGGCCTTTGGGCCCCAGACTGACTATTTAGACCTGGAATCAACTACCCTGTTCTGCTGGCAGAAGCCAGTGGAAGGACTCCTGCTAGTTCAATAGGGCTTTCCCTGCTCTCAGAACTGACGGAAAGATCTCAGCACTACACTGAAATCCACCCTAAAAGTTTTTCCTTGGGTGTTCAAAGCGCATCACATATATTATTACTTCAGTAATCATTTCAAAAGAAGCTATCCCCATATTTCTGGTGGAGGCTGAGACTGACAGAATAGCGATTTCATGGCTAAAGTCGAGATTTCAACCAGGGATTTTTTCCAGTTTTGCAGTCTATTATTATCATGAAATCTCTCTCCGCAATGAGTACCTTTTTCTGCAAAAGATGTCCTGTTTAAAGGGTTTTTTTATTTTGGGTATGTATCAGCTAAAATGAACAGCAATAACAAAAACAACAACATTCTAATGGTCCATATTATTTTCCTGCCTAATGCTCCCACCCTCCACCTAAGTAATCTGCAGTGACTGAGGAGGAAACAGAATAATTTCTGTGGGTTAAGAAAGGGTTAACTGGGTTGGGTAATGATCACAAGCTATGACAAAGGCAGGAGAGCAGAACTGTGGAACGATGTATTTAACCAATTACTGACATAGAAACTTACTTACATGTACATTAGTTGTGGCAAGCTCCACGTGTTGCTGAAGTAAAATTCCCATCATCCCTGGCCATTGGCCATGCATGCTGGGGATGATGGAAGCTGAAGTCCAGCAACATCTGGAGGGCCAAAGGTTCTCCACATCTGGTGGGGAAGGACAAAGAACAGATGTCGGAGGTTCCTGCCCTAAAAGGCTCACAATCTAAGATATATGCAAGCAAGCCAGGTGGGGAACAGAGGCGAGGGCAGAAGAATATGCGACTAGTTCAGTTACACTGACATTGACTTTGTTACATGACTAAAAGGCATTCCAGAAAAGGTGAATTCTGAGTTCCTCCTATGTGGTTCATTTCATGTGATAAGAGGCACAGCTGAATGCCTCTTAGAGATGCATGGATTCATAGTTCTGGCTCTCTGCTGATAGCCAAACTACACTTAGGAGAATAGCATAACGGTTGAGACAAAAACACAACACATTTTCTTCTTCTTTTTACAAGCTGAATTTCTAGGCTTTTTTAAATTTGGCAACCTTTCTACAGCTGGCGTTTATTTCTGCATCCAGGCACTTTTTGGCATGAGCCTGCTGTGGGAGCGCCCTTGCCGCCTATGGGGCAGATGTGCAGTTGTTTCTGTTGGCTCAAAGTCAGGGGAAAGGCTGTGTGCTAATCAAATGGGATGTGCCCCTACACAATGCAATTATGCCTGCATATTGTACGGTGAATTTTGTGCCTTTCCCTACCACTGACTTTGTCCTTACCTTGACTTGTTCGTTAGAAGTCACAGCGCAGAAAACTATTTCTGTAAATCCTTGAGACGGGAACATTCGGAAGCAGATGCCGCCAATCACACGGCCGTCTTTGATCAATGCAAGGGTCTTGTGTTTCCTGGAGTTATATACATTTTATGTCAGGCTTGTTTCACAGCGAGTGATGCATAAGCATTAGCATATCTCACATCCACAGCTAGAGCAGCAATAAATAATAAAAGCATTTGATGCAAAGACCTGACACCAACTTCATGCTCTGCACAGTCAGTAAATACAAGATCTTAGCAATATATTACATTAAAAAGAAACAAAGCTGCTGATTCACTTTATTTAAAAAGATGCCCAGGAAATTGGGCCATTTCTTAAACTGAAGTAGTTATTACCGCGTTTTCCAACCCCCTTCCAAACGAATATCTGAACGCCCCATCATACAGTTCTATATTATGTTTTCTACATTATATTGAAAAATTACTTGTTTCTTCAAACTGAGGAACAGTTTTGAATTCCCAACACGAAATTATCATTGTAACAACCACAGGTGCAGATATAAAACAACAGTCCTCTTCCCCCCACCAAACAACAACAACAACAACAACAATAATATATTAACAGTGGGGCAGGTTTTTGAAACCCAAGTTTGGTGAAGATATTAGACTCCAAAAATAATAAAGAAATACAGATGCCATTAAGCAGGTGGAAAGAGGCTTTCAAGGAACAGCTAAGGAGACATTTTATTGGCTGATATTAGAGAACCATAATCTACAATAGAGTAATATCTAAAATAGACAAATATTAATTTATATGAATCAATGGCCTGGTTCTTACATAATGCTAGCCATGGTTTGTCTAGTTCAAGTGTGATATGTTTGAATGCCTGAATCCAGTCCAAAATGGCTTCTTTATCTTGCAACAAACCATAATGTGAAGTCAAGATTTGCTATTTGCTTAGGAACCATGGATTATTTGGGCTATAGTTTGGCATTGTGCCTGAATCTAACAACCTTGTTTAACCAGAGTTTGTTTGGCCACCGACAAACAGTCACTAGGCTACAGAGTGCACAATGCAGGAACAGCTAGAAAATAAACCATCTGTGGGACTACGAATGGGTTCATTGAGCAAACCATGGTTTAGTGTTACACAGCCAGTAAATGTAAATACTGGTGCTTAAGCCTTACTTTTCAGTCTAGCCAAGCTTTGTGGGATTGGTCTATTTTATTAGTGAATTTTTCCAATTTTTTTATGTTGGCAGAAGCCACCTGATATATCAAGCTTTCTTTGCTCATTTCCTACAAATTTCATTATATTATAAATAAAAATGGAGAACTGTATTTTTTCATGTTGTGAACTGCCTTTCATATCTGGTGGACCTGCTTTTATTGTTCATCTTTACCTTTCTTTTTCTGCTCTGAAGATTGCATCCATTCACCACATAAAATCTAAAAGCATGCTTTTTCTAGATGCCAAATTTATCCAATATAAAGTATTGCCTTTCTCAATCTACCTTTCCGATGGAGAGGGGAGGAAAAACTTACGGATCAAAGACGAGACGAGTAATATACTCTTTCGGCATTCTGGGTAGCTGATGTGAGAATACATTCTGTAAGCCAACCAGCCACATCATGATTTTCTTATTTGGCTTTTGATTTAGGGAATTTCCAACTACGTGAAATTCAATCACTCCCCTGCGCTCTTCCATCCTCGCTGCTTCATCCCGGGCTGAGTGTGCAGATAGAAAATTAGTCTGCTTTATGAAAGGAAGAAGAAAAAAGAAAAAAGGTTCAGTATACATTTGAGAATTTTGGCTACTTTGTTTTCACAGTCAGGCACACAGCACACCTGGAAATCTGTTCCATTTGTTTTGATAGAACACATTTCTAAGTGTGTTAGAAATTCCACTGAAAAACAACAGAATTTGATTACAATGGGACTAATTTCACTGGATCTTTCTCCATGTGATTAGAGACATGGTGTGATCCCGTGACTTATCTTGATAAGGTGAACTAATCAGCTCCCTTTCTACATCCAGTGGTACCTTGGTTCTCAAACTTAATCTGTTCTGGGAGTCTGTTCGACTCCCGAAACCGTTCAAAAACCAAGGCATGGCTTCTGATTGGCTGCAGGAGCTTCCTGCACTCAATCTGAAGCCACTGAAACCGCGTCAGACGTTTGGCTTCTGAAAAACGTTTGCAAACCGGAACACTTACTTCCAGGTTTGCAGTGTTTGGGAGTCAATTTGTTTGACAACTAAGCCGTTTAGGAACCAAGGTACCACTGTATTAGCAATGTTGTTGTTTTGTTTTAAATGAGCTCTGATGAAATTCAGAATTCACACTTAAAGATTTTACTGTTCCACACCACCTATTCTATAAGAGAAGCCTTTTTTACTTAAAGCATTTCTTAGTTGCTATTTGCAGGAAAGGTATCAGTTTGTGATAACAGGAAGAACGGCATGGCAGGAAGGGAGCTGCTGTTAATCCATGTGAAAAACACTCAGCTGTATGGACCAATGGTTTATTTCAGTTTAAGGCAGCTTCTTATTCTGTAGGCAGTATTAAGTGTCACACTGAATTATGATCTTCTGTTGGGAAAGGGAACAAATGCATTGCTTGAAATAAAAGGAAGCTAGGCGTGACAAAACCTACAGACAACTTCTAGTTCAGAGGTTGCCAACCTTACGGAGCTGATGGGCACATTTGCAAACTGGAGAAAACTACGTGTCTCACCTCTGGACCGAGCATTGCAGCTGGATCTGTAATGGTTGACATCACTTCATTGATGAGTTCAATAGGAATGTCTCCTACAACTCTTGGCTTCTTAGCATCCTCCACGGAATAAGGCTCATTGCTTTTTCTCTTCTCCCCTGGATAATATAGCAACAGCAATTGAAATAATAATCTAAACTACTACAGAAGCTATAACTCTGTCAAAAGGCAGACATTCAAAGAATGGGAAAATGCCAAATTATGTAACTCATAAGAGATGTAATAAATCAATATTTTAGTGTAGCAGCATCCACACTTTGGAACTCCCTGCCTATTGACATTAATCAGGTGCCTTCGCTGGACCCTTCTGGGTTCTGCCTTCCCCACGGAAATAAAAAGCCTCTGAGCAGGTATCGGTTTATGATACCAGGATGAACACCCCAGCAGATTAGAGGGCCAGCCTAGCCCAGTCCATTAGCCAAAGGGGAAAGCTTGCTTCTCCAACCCAAAAAGAACATTCAGCTCTAACGGCCAGTTTCCCTGGCTCCATCTGACACCAGGGGAACTCACAGCTTCTGGGTTGTGTGGGTTTGATTATATCCATGTGCATTATTGAAATCCATTCTAAGGTGCCTTAAGAAGATGAGTTACACTTCTTATAAATAAAGACAAATGACAGTTTTGGGTTACTTTTTTTTTTAAAGTGTATATAAACACCTACATGTTGTGCAACACAAATTTAAAAATAAAAATTATCACTAATTTGCACAAAACGGGGTGTTATAGCCAATGCCAGTCCTGCTCTGCACAGGCCCACTGAAAGTAACAAACACCACAAACTCATATCCATTAATTTCAATGGATCTACTCTAAGTAGGACTTGTTTAGTCGTTTAGTCGTGTCCGACTCTTCGTGACCCCTTCATGGATCACTGCCTTGCCGTGGCAAAGGGGCTTGAATAACTCAGAGATGCTATGAGCTATGCCTTGCAGGGCCACCCAAGATGGACAGGTCATAGTGGAGAGTTTTGACCAAATGTGGTCCACCTGGAGCAGGAACCGGCAAGCCACTCCAGTATCCCTGCCAAGAAAACTCCATGAACAATAACAACAGGCATATAAAAGTAGGACTAGCCCTGGATAAAACCCTAAGTTCTTGTCCCATGGAGTATACAGGCATTTCCTATTTGTGTCAATGTGACAAAAGTTGCTTGTCTCCAAGCCCGCCTTTGCACTCAGCTGCCTTTCCCCTCTGTGATGTAAGAGAAGTTGCACACAGAACTATATGTGTAGTTATTTTATTCTTTTCTCATTTCCCCAACCCCCAATACAGGGCAGCTGCTGAGACGGAAGATGAGTATGGATGAACAGCTCCTGAACCCTATTCTCCCTGTACTTCTTTCCCATTGAAAATGCTTCTTCCTGCCTCCCTCCCTCTCTGCAGCTGCATTTATCCCTGCTGAAGGAGAAGATACAGATATACGGCTGCATTAAGAGTAGATGTCTCTTCTGGTTCATGAATCAACAAAAATGGCAGTTAAGCTTCCATTGTATAACGTTTTGCACATATGGCAAATAAAAGCTGCAAGGAGACAGATAGGCACTTTAGGGCCAGGATCAGCTAAAAATAGCCGCATTTTGACTTGCTTCATTAACTGCTGGGCAGGGGGGCGTGTTGCAGAATCAAATAACTTGGAAGGGAGGAAACACTTTGTCAATTCAGAATGGAAGATTTTAGATGAGCTTTGATTTTCCAAATTGCTCCTGAACAAAACATGGGCTTCAGAAGGTGATTACTGGAGGCACACGAAACATGTATGTGCTTGAAGTCAGATCACCTGGAGAAGCAACAAGCATCCACCACACCTCTCTGGACAATTTCAGTTGAATTCTTGCAGCCCAGTCCTTGTTTCATGACATTCAATAGGCCATACGTCATAGCAAGCCTTCTTAGAGATTGTGGAGTTCAGATTTGCCTGGGCTGCGAAGGGCATCCTTTGTCTCTTATCTCCAACAGGTATTTCAATTGTATGGAGGCTAATATCTGCTGAGGGAAAGTCACTCTGCACGCACTCAGGGCTTATCCACCGTTACCTTTCACCCTGCAATTTCCAGGCAGAAATCTGCACTTTAATGCTCTGTGACTGAGCATCCTCTCCCCTGAGCTTTCCCCACCAAAACCCGCTCTTTAAAACTGAATCAGAGCAAACGTCAATTTGAGTTTTCTGCGGACTGGTGTCTACACTGGTTGGACACACACAGACCTGGAAAGCCCAGACCACGGCTGGAAAGAGCGGAAGAAAGTTAAGTGTGGATAAGCCCTCATTTAGTTGCTTCACATGTCTGAGGGTTGAGCCCTGCCAAAGAGGTGAAAGTAAAGGTAAAGGACCCCAGTCAAAGGCGACTATGGGGTTGCGGCACCCATCTCGCTTTCAGGCCGAAGGAGCCGGCATTTGTCCACAGACAGCATTTCAGGTCATGTGGCCAGCATGACCAAACCGCTTCTGGCACAACGGAACACCATGACAGAAACCTGAGTGCATAGAAACACCGTTTACCTTCCCGCTACAGCGGTACCTATTTATCTACTTGCACTGGTGTGCTTTTGAACTGCTAAGTTGGCAGGAGCTGGGATAGAGCAATGGGAGCTCACCCATTCGCTCGGATTAGAACTGCAGACCTGATCAGCAAGCCCAAGAGGCTCAGTGGTTTGGACCACAGTGCCACCCACGTCCCCTACCTGCCAAAGAGACTGGGTTTCAGAGTTGGGACCTGGTCAACCCGACTGATAGTTGAGCCGTCTAAATAGCATGAAGCAAAACTGACAGCAGACACCAACACTGTAGTACAATGGCTAGAACCCTTTTTGTTGCATAAACTATCAACGTGGGGCATCACCGACAGCTTTATCTTGCTCAACTCCCATTCTATTCAATGGGGCTTGCTCAGCAGAAATTCCATGCAGATTCCCTAGCTTGAGCACAAAAAAGCTAGAAGCCCACTGCTCTTCACGTTACCTAGATTTGGGTCCAGACTAGAAGCAGCCTTGCAAGCAGGACTCATACTTCCACCACTGGGTTGCTCTAGAGAGGAGGGGCTTGCACTGTAAGGAACAGACCTTACCACAGGGGGGCGGCTGATAACTGCAAGGAGACAGAAAGAAAACAACATTGAATGTAGGAATGATCGGCACTAAGTAGAGCCCCCCTGAAGCTATTTACATGTTCAGGGAATCCTCCAGTTGGTGTTAATGGGAGCTTTCCTTGAAATGCAAACGGCAGCTTCAGAGAGGGGATTGTAGTCAGGAAGAGAAAGGGTGAATTTTCCCATTCCCCACCCCACAGGCAGCTCAGGCTGTCCCATCAGCTGCTGTTTGCATAGCATCCATGTCTAATTTGACTTTCATTCTGTCCTGCACCACATTACATTTACCTGTCTGGATGCCTAGCTGGGCACTTCGAGAAGAAGATGCTATGAAATCTGGATCCCAGATAGGAGAACTTTGACTGTACACCTCTTCCTCCAGCATGGACAGGAACCTTAACACAGTAATTGAGGCAGCATTAATAGATGGGAGTTTTATCTACCAAGAAAAACATACCTTGCTTTATGATAATAATAATTTCAGAAAGCTATCAAAACAAGAACAAACTGAACAAACAAAAAACACTTTTGGAAAAATGGTCCGTTGCAAATTTCTGATGAAACCTAGTAACAGTTGAGAGAAAAAGCACAGTACTGATGTGAAATCATTTGCTTATATATCTAATGCATTTGTTAGATGATTATAAAAATTATTGAGTACTCTAGCTGGTGTTACTACTCATCACAACTGCCGACAATTGTTGTCAGCGCCATGTTTTTTTTAAAATTCCCCCCCTTCTCTACATTGTATAAAGTCATTTACAGTACGATACTATCCTTGTCTATTCAGGAGTTAACTACATTTCAGTTCAATAGGGCTGACTCCCAGGTAAGTGCGTACAGACTTGCAGCCTTAGAAGCTCACAAGTTTGTTTTGGAGTATTTTCTATACCAGGGATGAGGAACCTGAAGCCCTCTAACTGAAGCCCTCTAACATTGGGCTCTAACTGCCATCAACTTCAGCCAGCACGGCCAGTTCTCAAGGAGAGGAGTTGTAGTCCAGCAACATGAGGTGGGGGGCTTGGGTTTCTCATTCCTGCTTCAGAACCATTAGAAGTGAGCTTTTACTTCTGTCCTGTTCCATCCCATTGCCTGGGGCTCGTTCATGAAGGTGGTGCCTTTAAGGTCACAACAGAAAATCTAGGAACATTTATGCTAGAAGATACTGGAAATCTAGGCCACTATTTAGGCCTGTAAATAGCTAAAAAAAAATATGAACAAACACTTAAAAGAAGTTTATGCTGCCATTATCCTGCTAGGCAACAGATCACGTTTTAGGAACAATACTTCGGAATATCTGACCAGGCTATGCATTAAGATGATAATCATGCAATATTAGAAAACCCTCATACTATTAAGGATATGCCTGCTTAATCCTTTCCTTGAAGTCTGTTGAGAATTCTGCTTTGAAAAATAAGAACTCGCTCAGAATTCTAAACCGAAGTTTGACCAGCTGAGTCACTCATTTTGTGTGGAAATATTGCTCACAGCAAGAATGATTATTTTTTTAAAAATGATTTAACATTCATGTGAGGCTACAAGCCCCAGCAAACTCAGTGGGACTTCTTTTAAAATAGATATTGCACTAAACCATGGTTTATGACAGCAGAAGAATGTTATTTACCTCATGTCCTACCTGTGGCCTGCCAAATGGCTTCTCTTTGGCCACTGGTGATGCTGGACTAGAGAGGTCTTTGATATGATCCAGCACAGCTCTTCTTATTACATCTGGACTACAGACCTCTGATTTAAAGTCGGTTAAAACACACCAGGGCAATAAACCCGGGTCACATGGTTCAGACGTAAGACGGAACTCTGGATTAATATAAACCAAGCTCTCCACACCATACCCAGCACATGAAAGCAGAGCAAAATGTGCTCATTTACAGCTTCATGTGCCATGGTTTTACAAAATCCTCAATGATTGTCTGAACTGGGCCAATCTGTCTCTGTTGCAAAGCCAACAAAATCACATTACTAACACAACATCATGACAGTCTCATTCAGGTTGATTTGCAGTGTAATTCCAAGATGCATTAGTCAACTATAATTGCCTTCAGTGTGGTGGAAATATGGCATTAGTTGTGATTATGTCACTGTGACTCAGGTACACCCTAACTAATCCCTAGTCCAGTCTTTCCCCAACCTGGTGCCTTCCAGATGTTCTCGACTTCAACTCCCATCAGCCTCAGCCATCAAGATCAATGGTCAGGGATGGTGGGAGTTGTAGTCAAAAACATCTGGAGGGCACCAGGTTGGGGAAGGCTGCCCTAGACTCTCAAAGAACAAGTGGATATAAACAAATTCTGAAAGAGAAAGAAATTGTTCCATGAGATGGTGCGAAAACAGCCAGCTCATCAAAAATGACATAGGGCTGGTTATTTTAAAAAGAAAAACCCTTAATAATTCTCATAGAACAGTTTCTTTCACTTTCACAATCTTTGTTCCCACACCCTTAGTTCTAAGAGAAGCAAGCCTAGATAGACAGGCATAAAGATCTATCTTTATCTTTATCCTTATCCTATTTGTTTTCTGAAAGATCTGAGTGTGTGGAAACTTTGCAACATTAGATATTTAACTCATCTCATCAGAGACACTACTTTGCCAATGTTTCTTCATGATGAAGCAGTCACTATTAAAGAGCTGCATGTTACTGCTGAGCAATTTGTTCTTTGCTAAACCGGCAGCTTAAAAAAAAGGTAATTACATGGTACCTTTTGCTATTGTCCCACTAATGTGTTTGAAATGCAAGCAGTCATGAATAAATTATTCCTGTTACAGTACAATTATTATGTAAACTGACATCTTCATGGCTTTCCCCACCAAGCTGCACGGCAAGACACACTACTTATAAAGTCGCAAACTATGTAATGCACTGCACTGTGTTGATAGGTCTAAAAATGCAAGCGAGTAGCTTCTGCTAAATTATTGAAAATGAAATGAAGGGAAACAATAGATACTTGAACTCATTAGGGTACAAAAGACCACTTTCAAATCCTACCACACAGACACATAAACTAATACAGCATAAAATATTTATATTAAATGATGTCGTTTGACATCACTCACACTCTCTCTCTCTCTCTCTCTCTCTCTCTCTCTCTCTCTTTCTCTAAATATATAATATACAATGAAATGCATCCTGTAAAAGGCTAAAGCGAATTAGCCTCACACACATTAAACCACAACTATGGTTTCAGATGGTGTGGCGAAGCTGGCATATTGCCGTCCAACCATGAAGTTTTGGACCTTTGGAGCTCATTTTGAGTCCTGAACAGAAACAATTTCAATCCAACCCTTGTGGAGTTAAATCTTGGGTTATGAATTTCATCAACTTTAACAGCAGGTCAACTCCAGAAATGCCTGGCTTGGAGTATACATTTTTGCTCCGTGAACAGAAGGAGCTTCTGTTCACTGCAGGACCGCTTTCCAACGAGCGGAAGCTCTCTCCAGCCACACAGTGAAAACTCAGGTTCTGAGCCAATGTTTATCACATAACACATTCATTATACAAATCTTAAGAAATTCATTAAGATCAGTTAATTGAAAGCTAGACCAAATTTCACTGAGATTTTTTAAAATATTTGTTTCACTGCATTCTTATCCTGCTTTTCTGCCTATGCCCAGACAGAACCGGATACAAAGGCCCACTTCACACGTAATGCTAAGCTAAACATGTCTTAGTGTAAATGGGGGGAAAGTGGGATTCCCAGAGCTAAGATAGCAGCCACAGCCCTCTTTCCCCAGGGCCTGGCACTACTCAAAGCTAAGCTATGGTTTGATGCAGCACTACTTCCAAACCCAGGCTCATGGATTGTCTCCTGCAAACCACAAAAGGCAACATGTCCATTTCTACTGCATGACTACTGCCGTGTGTTGTACACAGGGCTGCCTCTGAAGATGGTACAGAAACTTGAGCAGAATTCAGTGGCCAGGTTGCTCAATGGAACAAGGCGGTTTGAGCATATTGCACCAATGCTGGCCTGACCACACTGGCTGCCAATTAGTCCCCAGGCGCAATTCAAAGAGCTGGTTTTGACCTATAAAGCCTTAAACGGCTCAGGACTGCAATACTTCAAGGACTGCCTCTCTCCATGTGAACCAACCTGGACCCTGAGATCATCATCTGAGGCCTTCTTTGTGTTCTGCCAGTGTTTGAAAAGGAAAAGGTTTTGACCTCCTTTGCCTGGTCCTCAGACCCCAGTCGGCACAAAGAGTACTCGAGAAAGAGTACTTTGCAGAATGCTGATTTTATTCTAAAAAAAAGTCTTCTCCAACTAGGACCTACATATCATAACTACATTAACTACGAACTACATATCAAACGCAGCCAACTTTCTACCATCCAACTAACCCACAACACACACAATCAATGACCACTCTATATATTTATAGACATAGGTAGATAAAGGTTTGCATGAGTCATGTAGGCTTTGCCGATTCCTTGTAGGCCGCTGACTCGTGCTGACTCAGTTCCTTTTGTATTAAAGAAGGGGCGGCTAATTTTAAGCCGTGACATGTTCCTCCTCCTCAAGAGGTCCGGAGGGTGTCAACACAAGAAAGGGCTTTTTCTGTTGTGGCTCTCCATTTGTGGAATGCTTTCCCCAGAGAGGTTTGGCCTTCATGATACACCTTTAAGTGCCAGGCAAAACCTTCCTCTTCAACCAGGCCTTTGGCTGATTAACATCTGATACCCTTTTAAATGTTTTGTGGGAGGTGGAGTTTATTGGTCTGTTTTTGTTTTTACTATGCATTTTGTGCTTTTATATTATATTTTGATGTTGTGAACCGCCCTGAGATCTGTGGATGAAGGGCGGTATACAAATTTTAATAATAATAATAATAATAATAAATAATAATAAATACATTTTAAGTTAATCAGAAAGTTCACAACAAAAGCAAAATTACTTAGGAAAATGTGTGAGTATTAGCGTTCGTTTCTCAGGTGGAAGCTTGTCCTTTTCCTGTCTTGCGTGTTCTAGGAGTTGCCTTCTCATGACGGTAAAGACAGAGCGCAGCAGTGTTCTCCCAAAAACTTGTGTGGTTTCGTATCGAGGTAGACTGTCACAAAACTGGGGCACGTTGCAGTAACACAACCACCTGCGAAGGGGGAAATATTAAGATAGAATGAACCCAGGTAACGGATCCAAACTAATATGAAAAAATATCTCCTTTCAAAATCTAACTGCTCTATTCACATCAATTCACCTTAGAGCAAGGATCCTCTTAACAAAAAGTATATTTAATTAATATCCAGAATCACGACATTTGCAGCAAAGAATCTGGTTAGAAAACACATTAAAATTCCGTAGCTACATGCACACTAGAAAACTTCTAGCAGGTCCAAATTGTAGAATAAGAATTGCAAAACTGGGTCAAACGTAAGCCACTAGCTCTTCCAGCTCAGGCATCTACTGACATCTAAACAAATGCAGACCGACAAATCATAGAACTGTAGTCCTGTAAATGTCCAAAATATATTTTGTATGGTTAAGTTTTTACCTCTATCTTCAGTACATTTATTTTATTTTATTGCTATGGCATCTGATGATGATGATGATGATGGTTACCTAGTCCAATCTCCAGCAATGCAGGAACCTCAGTGAACATGATATTCTCTAGATGCAAGATGTTTGCACCCTTCCCTGGAGAAATTTCAGGGAACAGAACGGGCCCTGAGGCATGCAAAGCCTTCCTTGCCCCCACTAAGCCAGATCTGATACTGCAGCAGAACAGGACCTTTGCAGGAGGCACTAAAATGTGTGGGGAGGTGGATCGTTTTAGGAAGATTGTGCAAAAATTTCCCTTTTCCAGGCAGCTGACTCTAGGTATTGTAGCAATCATGTTGCTTGCAAAATCCTGCCCAAAATGCTGGGAATATGCACACAGTAAGCAGGTTATTCACACAGAACTTGCACCTAATTACCTGCAAAACAAATTCATTAGCACCCTCCTAAAGGCTTGGCCACAAAACCATAGACATCTGCAACAGGAACATTGTTAGGCGGCACCAAAAGACAGGGCAAAATAAGGACGGCCTCAACAGGAGCAAGAAAATATTTTATTGAGGAATGGTGGCAATATCCTAGCCCTGCTGCCATTCCCTAGCATCTGGTCATCACAGGTAGATTGCATTGGAACTCATAGGTTGTGCTTTTGTCTACAGCTTGACCCTACGAACAGACTTTCCCTCCATGTATTTATCTGATCCAGTCTAAATCAAGTTAATAAATATGAAGTCAAGAATATTGGTCCCAACAGTGTACGTAATAAGAAAAGGGCAAATGGCACCCACTACCTACCGGAACTGATCCTACAGGTACAAATGAATACCTGAAACAAGACATTGTTACCTTGTGTAGTTCACTTTGTAGCTGGCAATGTCATCATTAGGTGACCTCTGTCTTCGCTGGGAAGGTGTCTCCAGGTGCCAGTAGTTGATGCGATTCAGGAACATTTTAGCCAGCTCTACTATCGTTTGCCTCTCTTTCGATGGTAAGTGACTAAATTTGTATTGCACAAAATTATTAACTCCCTTCAAAAGAGAGGACAAATAAATGAGACCATTTATAAATCAAAAGGAAGACGAGGCTCTAAATGCATATTTAGGATTTTATTTATGTTAAGTGATGAATTAATATGTTTAATTCCATAAGGTGAAGATTTAAGGATGTTAATGTCTAAGTTAAATTTTATAAGAATTGGGATTTGGAAAACCGTTAAAAGGACATGCAATGAAATTCAACCAAGGGGAAGCGAGGAAGTCACTTAACAAAGTTAATAAGTGTAATTCTCAATAAGGCTATGATTTATGTTTGTTTGTCTTATGTGTTTGTTTGTTTGTTTATAATACTGTGAAAACTAATAAAAAATGGGGGGGGGACTAAATGCTTATTTCCTATTTAATGACTACATTCTCTCTAGTGGCTAGTTAAGATCCACTTCATATTTTATCTTTTTCAAAATCCAAACGGCACAGGTGACACATGTAAGTAAATCTCTGGAAGAGAAACCGAAACCACCTCTTCAATAAAAATAAGGACTTTCTCCTACAGATGTAGCTTGTCGAATGACCATGCCACTGGCTGTCACAGATTATCTTAACAGTCAAATGAATTTGGAACCAACTTTCCCAGACTCTGCCGAAAAGCAAAGTGTGTGTCTGTGTGTGTTTTGTCTATCTGTCAGCTGTGACCTAGAGAATAGACGCAACAAGACAGGGAGGTGCAGACTCTGTGTCCAAATTCCAAATGTGCCCAAAAAGGTTTGCACTCCCTGATTTAGTACAATTGCGGGCCGTATGTGGGGTTTTAAGCTCCCCCCTCCCCCAAGCAGCAGACTACCCTCCACTGCTGGCAACTCACAAAAAGTCTCTTAGCAAAGCCAGGGAAACCATTTAGAGTAGTAACTTTAAAGACAGGATGGGTAACTGTCCGAATGAAATTGCAGAAGTGTGAAAGGGGGCAGGGGGTCTTTCCTAACTGCAGTCCAGAGGTGCATATGTGCTCCCATTGGTAAGCATGGAAACCACAGCTGAGTGAGTGTTCCCAATAACAGGGAAGCCCCACTTTTGCACATAAATCAAATCTGCACCAGCCAAGCTAACTTCAGTCAACTAGCATGGCGTAGCTAGTCTGCAGACCTTTTGTTTCTCACTGGGTACTTGATCTATAGCACCACCTAATATTCCTAAAAGTCTTTAGTCATCATTCTTAGCCCCAAGTCAGCAAGACACTTCATATACTGATAGGAGATGACTCTGTATAGATGTTACTTTACCTGTTCAATACTGGGTTTCTCAAACGGGGGGCTCTCCAAAGATCCTTCTACAACAGGTTTTCCCATCTGTAATATACACTTCCTCAAAAGCTGTTGAAAAGAGATTTTTAAAGAATAAATAAATAAAATAGATTCTAACTAGGGCTGGGTAATAACTGGTTTTCAATACTGCAATATATCACCAGCTAAACATCACGATGTATCACTATATCAAGATATCTGAAATAAGGAAGGAACTACGCAGGGGCGAACAGGACAATGTCCTGGCAACTGCTGCTACTTAAGGGTCTAAAACTGATAAATGTTTAAATTATCAATCACCTCATGGTCACTTTCAGCAACAGGCAAGCCAAAATGCATCCAAATGAGACTTTTGGTTTTGGGCTTGGCTAATCTGAGAGTCCCAGATTATTTGTATTTGAGGCATCTGATCAAGGACTGTATTTTAAAATGAGCTTAAAGATATATTTGCAAATGTTTGTATGTTTCATGCCAGGCAGAAACCAGCTGGCTAAGTACTTTGGCAGTTGTTTATGTTCCTGCTCTCCTGAACAAGGGCCCCCCTGATTTACAGCAGTAGCAGGAGACAAGTTTCTCAAAGTTGTAAAAGGAAATTACAGGCTGAGAGCAAATGTTACACTGACCCTACATATTACAGAATACAATCAAGCTGCAAAAACACTAATTAAGAGTTGGTAAATAGTAAGATTTATTGTTTAACAGAAAATAATACCATGTGCCTCCCATCAGACTCTAGCCATATTTTCCTAAGGTTTAAGGTATACTGAGAGAGTTAAAGGGCAATAAATTTTGGGAAGAGCTAATGGGAAAAGCAGCTGGCTGGGAAAGGAGGGTGTAAACTGAAGAGGCTTCTTTTGAAGCTGTTTTTACTGAGTTCCTTTTTTACTTTGCAAAGGCCTTTTCTTCTAAAGAGCTATCTATGTTATGTATGAGATTTGTTGGCTTAATGTAATTATGCAAAGGATTTAGAAAGTAAGAAATGTTAGATTCTTATGTTAGATTCTTATTTCATTGATGGTGTGTGAGAATGTGAACCCAAGATCTCTGTTTAGATAGAATTTAATACCATGAGCCATTTCTTTTAGCCATTTGTTTTGGAATGCAGGGGCAACAGGGGCAAAAGGTGATCTGGTAATTAAGGTGCCTTGTCGAGGCAAATGTAAGATATATGGCTACTTGTCTGCCATTTATGGATAGAAGGAAATATAGCTCTTTGTCTCCCATAAAAGGTAATAGGAAATGGGTGTATCTTTTATGATTGGTTCTAGCAAACAGCCAATAGGAATTTCAACCAGGCTGATTGGACAGAGGCAGCCAAAGGAGGAGCAAGGGGGCTGGGCTGAGGAAATATAAGTGCTGGCCATCAGGGCTGGAGGGGGCAGAGCTTTGGTAACCATATACCACTGTGCCTATCATTTATTTGTCTGACAAATAAATTATTATTTTAATTTCTCTATTGCTGCGTTGAATATTTCATTCCAGCTAAGCGTTAACCACGAGGAAGGTGCTACATATTCACTATGACTCAGCACCATGCTTTGGATTGTCCTGAATATCACCATTTGGTACTCCAAGCCCAACGTATCCAATGAAGCCATCCTGTTTGTGCAAGAACTTCTGCTTGTGCAACAGAACTTTCCCCTCCTCCTCCTCCTCCTCCCCACATGCCCCAAATCTGTTCTGCAGGTTCCCTGAGGCCTCTGGAGGAGATCTGCAGGGGGCATGTGGCAAGAGGAAAGGGAGGGGAAGAGATCCTTGCACCAAAGGAATGTCTTCACTGGATAGAACCTATGGTTTGCAACTACAACAATTATACAATAACATAATAATAAATTTTAATTTATACCCCGCCCTCCTCGGCCAAGGCCGGGCTCAGGGTGGCTAGCACCAAATATGAATTACAATAAAACATAATAGAAAAACAACAACAGCAACAACAACAAACAAACAAACAATTAAAATACAGCTTAAAATGCAGCCTCATTTTAGTAGTAGCCCATAAATCAAGACCATAATGGGAGGAAACATCAGATCTTCACCCGAGCCAGCTATCCATGCTGGTCCTACATGGGCCAGCAAAAAAGCCAAGGGAAAATTTATATACCAAATCCCATATAAGGGGTCAGAGTGAGTCTAAGCCGAAGGCCAGGCGGAGCAGCTCCATCTTGCAGGCCCTGCAGAAAGATGTCAAATCCCGCAGGGCCCTAGTCTCTTGAGACAGAGCATTCCATCACATCGGGGCCAGTGCTGAAAAGGCCTTGGGCCTATTTGAAACCAATCTAACCTCCTCGAGGCTTGGGACCTCCAAAGTGTTGTTATTTATGGACCTTAAGGTCCTCTGCAGGGCATTACCTACAGACTCTGCCATATATAGAGGAAAGGCACTACATCTTGTATGAGTCAAGCCCAGAATTACTGTCATACTGGATCCAAGCCAAATACAGTGCACTAATTGATGGTAACATTGCTCAGTTTTTGCATCAATCTCTAGGGATGCTTTACGCAAGATAACAGCAGCACTGAATGTATTCCGGGAAACAAAACAAAAACCGGCGACTTGCCTTGAACAAGTAAAAGTAGACTTGCTTGGTATCTGCATCTTCTTCCTTGTGAACACAGGCAAAGAGATACTCGACATCCAGCACAATCCCCAAGAGCCTGTTCATTTCGTCTTCAGATACATTCTCCAAATGGGAAACGTGAGCAGCTAAACAAACAAGTAAATCCAAAGCTTAAAGGGAAAGACCTGAGCAAATGGAAGAGCATTTATCTGTTCTTTGTTAAATTGCCCTGTCTCGGGAATGGGCAACCGACACACATAAGCCGAAGGAGAATCTTTTTTTCAACCCGCTAGAGATGCTATCGCAGACATTAACACATCAAGTATTTTCCACATCCAAACAGTTACTGTCAGATTTGCACCCTGCTGTGTTAAACACTTGAAACAATAACAAAATTTCAAATATAAAAAACCCACACAATTAATATTGACTCCCCTCCCCCCCCCACTTCCATGGTGCATTTTATTACATTCTTTTCCACCACATATTCTAATTTCTCCCCATTTTATATCTCAGTATTTTTAACTGCTGAATTTATTCTATTACTGTTAACATTTTTAAAGTGCTTGCAACATTTCTCCAAATAATCTATAAAACATTTCCAATCTTCCTTGAATGTTTTTTTTATCCTCATCTCTTACTCTTATCTGTCCATCTTGCCCTTTCTATATATTCTATTAGCTTCATCTACCATTCTTCCTGGGGACACGGGTGGCGCTGTGGGTTAAACCACAGAGCCTAGGACTTGCTGATCAGAAGGTTGGCGGTTCGAATCCCCAAGACAGAGTGAGCTCCTGTTGCTCGGTCCTTGCTCCTGCCAACCTAGCAGTTCAAAAGCACGTCAAAGTGCAAGTAGATAAATAGGTACCGCTCCGGTGGGAAGGTAAACGGCGTTCCATGCGCTGCTCTGGTTCGCCAGAATCGGCTTAATCCTGCTGGCCACATGACCCGGAAGCTGTACACCAGCTCCCCTGGCCAATAAAGCGAGATGAGCACTGCAACCCCAGAGTCGGTCACGACTGGATCTAATGGTCAGGGGTCCCTTTACCTTTTACCATTCTTCCTTCGCTGGTATTGTATCTTCCCTCCAATTCTGAGCACACACCATTCGTGCTGCTGCAAAAACTGTATTAGCAGTGGCTGATGACATGTTGAGGTGGTGACACTCATCTGACCTCCGGTCAGTCATGTTGCTGTGTCTTACCGAGAAAGAAGGGGGCAAGATAGCAGCGAGGCCAGTGCAGAGCGAACACAGTGGTGAAGCCCATTTGTGGCTCCTGTAGGGCGTTTGCACTGTGCTGACCTCCCTGCCACCCTACTGCTCAACCTCCCAGTAAGCCACAGCAACATGACCAACCATAGGGCAGGTGAGCACTACCATCCCACCACACTGTCCGCTGCTGATTATTAACCATTATGTGTAGTAAACTATAGCGTAGTGCATGAATCAGTCCTGTTTTCTTCTGTTTCAGAAAATGTTATCTCTCCTGTCCGTTACAGTGTGCCATTTAGATTCTCCATAGCTGAGAACACATTACAGTGGTGCCTCGCAAGACGAAATTAATTCGTTCCGCAAGTTTTTTCTTCTTGTGAGTTTTTCGTCTTGCGATGCACGGTTTCCCATAGGAATGCATTGAAAATCAATTAATGCGTTCCTATGGAAACCGACTTCAGACCAGGTCCGGGGACAATCTGTCCCCCGACCTCTTCTGAAGGCTGGGGGGGGCGAAAGTCTTTGCTCCCCCCCCCCCACGGCAGCATTTTAAAATCGCCCCGGACAGCGGAGGACTTCTCCGCTGTCCGGGGCGATTTAAAAGCCCTCCCGGGAAGGCAGCCAGGGGGGACAAAGATTTTCGCCCCCCGCCAGCCTTCCCCTCTTTTGAAGCAAGGGGCGGAGGGAAGAAGATCGCTTCTCCCCTTTGCCGCCCCTTGCTTCAAAAGGGGTCCGGGGAGAGAGAGGAAGGCGCACGCCTTTCCCTCTGTCCCCTCTTTTGAAGCAAGGGGCGGCAACGGGGAGAAGATCGCTTCTCCCCTTTGCCGCCCCTTGCTTCAAAAGGGGTCCGGTGGGAGAGAGAGGAAGGCGCGCGCCTTTCCCTCTGTCCCCTCTTTTGAAGCAAGGGGCGGCAACGGGGAGAAGATCGCTTCTCCCCTTTGCCGCCCCTTGCTTCAAGAGGGGTCCGGGGAGAGAGAGGAAGGTGCACGCCTTTCCCTCTGTCCCCTCTTTTGAAGCAAGGGGCGGCAACGGGGAGAAGATCGCTTCTCCCCTTTGCCGCCCCTTGCTTCAAAAGGGGTCCGGGGGGAGAGAGAGGAAGGCGCGCGCCTTTCCCTCTGTCCCCTCTTTTGAAGCAAGGGGCGGCAACGGGAAGAAGATCGCTTCTCCGCGTTGCCGCCCCTTGCTTCAAAAGAGGTCCGGGGAGAAAGGGGAAGACGCCAGCATTTTAAAAAACCTCGGGACAGCGGGGGACTTCTCCGCTGTCCAGGGCGAATTTAAAATGCTGGCGGGCGGCAGCAAAGCCTTCGCTGCCGCCCGCCAGCATTTTAAAAAACCTCGGGACAAAGGAGAAGTCCCCCGCTGTCCCGGGGTTTTTTTAAATGCTGCTGGGCGGCAGCGCTGCCGCCCGGCAGCATTTTAAAATCGCCCCGGACAGCGGAGAAGTCCTCCGCTGTCCCGGGGTTTTTAAAAAACCTCTCCGCCCCCCGCCAGGCTTCGGAGCAGCCTTCCGAAGCCTGGCGGCGGGTGGAGGTCCGAGGACAGTGGGCAAGACGCCCTGTCCCGGAGATTTCCCTATGGGCTTTCGTCTTGCGAAGGAAGCCCATAGGGAAATTCGTTTTGCGAAGCGTCTCCAAAACGGAAAACCCTTTCGTCTAGCGGGTTTTCCGTCTTGCGAGGCGTTCGTCTTGCGGGGTACCACTGTATTATCTACTGTGTTGATAGGGCTGGGCGATATAGTGATATATCATCCAAAACCAGTTTGAAGTCCACGTTGTGATATTGGTTTCATAATTTTTGACGCACAATATATCACAAACCATGATGTGTGTGTGTATTCTACACAAAAATCACAATGTGGGGAAAACTGTGAAGCAAGCCAAAGCTTCCATTGATTCCTGCAGCCCCTGTTAACTCTGCTGGCTCAGCTCTCCCCTTCCTCTTGCAAGGAGGCAGAGAATCACAAAGAGGGAAAAACTGTGAAGCCAGCCAACACCTCTACAAGAGCTCCATCCTTATTTCAAACATTGTGATATATTGCACTGTTTAGCTGGTGATATATCACAATGCTGAAAACCAGATATTGCCGAGCCCTATTGTATAACATATCTTTGCAATAAGAATGTTCCTAACAAATTCATATGTGAGAGATCTCTGTATGTCTGCTAGTAGGAAAGCGATCCGGTTACAGTTTAGATATGTGAGGAGTCCCCAAACCTCTCCGAAATAATATTGTCAATTTGAGATTTCTCACTTATTTCATTCTATGGCACATTTAGGTCTCAGGGATTTGCAAAAGATTATTTGCAAGATCTCTGGTGTAACTTTATTGGAACAAATTAGTTCTCCTAAATGTCATCAGGCTACCCTAAGAACGCACAGGTGCTATAGCGTAAAAACTTGGAGCAAAATTCTTTCCTAGGCTACACGAAGCATGTCCCTGAGAACCGAAGAAAAGCAAATGCTTCAATGTCTTAGAAGCTTAATAAATGGCAGTTGTAACCATCTAACAGCAGGAGGCTAATTGGGAAATTAGTTACACTGTCATTTTAATGACAGCAGGGTCTGAACTGTGAAGACACTTCTGTTATCAGCTCCTATTCTCAATAGATTATCTATTCTCTCCAAAGGAGAGAGAAAGGAGTCTGACATTTCTGAGCCTGTTCAGACTCAAGGTCTTATTGTCCCTGCAGATCTAACCAAATGTATTCAGTGGCCCTATGCTGCTATAAGAAAGCAATTCTGTTTTCCATTCTACGGTATTTAAACTTACCTCCAATCCTCACAAATAAAGGGAATATTAGAGAATACCTTACTACATAGATATTCAGCAATCATTAGCATACTAGTCATAGAACGCTGTTTTAAATTTTAATATATTTATGTTTGGGGTACAGCAATATTGAATTTTAGCAAACTTGTACATTTTGCAGCTTTCTTGTGGAGCTCTGGCTATCAGTTTTTGGTACAAAATTGCCTCCCTAGATCTGAGGAAGAAACTGCTACCAAACAACAGCAGAATGACATGACATATCTTTTAATCCTGCTTCTTTGCTACCTCTTGTTTTCCATACTTAGTTGAGCTGCGTAGGTATATGCATAATCTTCGGATTTATTTTGTTTTTGCAGCTGAACACATCTTGAGTCATTTAAATGTATTTTGTTCACATTTCTGTGACGTGACAGGAAAACACTGTTCCAAGAGTCTGATCTGGGAAAGCTATTTCATGCACTGAAATCCTGAATCCGTACCCAAATCCAGGTTGAGCAAAACAAGCAGCCATGGAGGGCATTACATTTGAAGAAGAAGAAGAAAACCCCTATATATGTAATTTGACTTCTTGTATTAGCTATTTTTGCTTTAAGGTTTCAAACTGCAGCCTTGAAAATAACTTTGGAAACTGACCCATACAATAAAATTATTTATGGTGCTTTCCCCACTCTTTTGGTTATTACAATTTTTTTTGAAGTTCTACATGAATCAGGTATTTCATCTTCCTTTAAAAAAAATTGTGCAGGTGAGTTATGTCCATGTGCTGCACAACTGCACATAAGCGCATATAAAGGTAAAGGTAAAGGTACCCCTGCCCATACGGGCCAGTCTTGCCAGACTCTAGGGTTGTGCGCCCATCTCACTCAAGAGGCCGGGGGCCAGCGCTGTCCAGAGACACTTCCGGGTCACGTGGCCAGCGTGACATCGCTGCTCTGGCGAGCCAGAGCCGCACACGGAAACGCCGTTTACCTTCCCGCTAGAAAGCGGTCCCTATTTATCTACTTGCACCCGGGGGTGCTTTCGAACTGCTAGGTTGGCAGGCGCTGGGACCGAACGACGGGAGCGCACCCCGCTGCAGGGATTCGAACCACCGACCTTTCGATCGGCAAGCCCTAGGCGCTGAGGCTTTTACCCACAGCGCCACCTGCGTCCCTCATAAGCGCATATATGTAACAACAACAAAAGGAATCCTGCCCCTCACAGTACATTATCATAATAATTATGAATCAATAATAATAATAATAATAATAATAATAATAATAATAATAATAATAATGTGTTTTCTATGTAAGGAATTCTGAGTGCAGAACTTGAGAGCCACAATATATTAGAGGCTTTTGTTGTTGTTGTTTTTAAAAAATGATTTTACTACTATCCAGAGTAGTAGCAATAGATAACCATTGGGAAATTCTACTTGAAAATGTTTGCATTACATTCTCTTTATATAATGATTTTACTTTAAAATTGTTTAACTGTAAGAATACCGACAAATAACAATAGAAAAAAAGGAGAAGAATGATAACTAAAAAGAGAACAAAAACTTATGCACTGTCAGGTGTCTGCAGAACTACTGAATATCTGGTCTTGGTTCTACCCTTGTGCTCAGCTGTAGCATATTTTCAAATACACAGTATATTTAGGTCTGTTTGTTTTTACTTAATTTACTCAATTTACTGTTACCTTCCCCAAACCTTTGGAACTGGGTAGGCTATGAACTTCAATTATGTGCACCTTGGGAGTGCAGCAACACCGGTACCCAAAACTTTACTGTCAGTCAACTTTCGTATTTGGTTTGTATTTATGTGCTTAAGCCAAAATTGTTGTTTTGTTTTGTTTTATTGCAATAACTGAATTTATCCTGTATTTGCTTAATTTCTGGATTTTGTTATTTTGAATAATAACAATTCTGAATAATATTTGTGGGTTTTTTATGTTTCTCCATTTTAATGTTGCAAATGGGTTTGCTACTGTAAGCCGCTTTTGGGCACAGCTTACTGTGGGGAAAGTGGCGTATAAGTAATAAATAAACAAACAGAAATTCCAGAAGAAAATGCTACAAAACCTACCTAGTGCGTGATTACAGCTACGACATGGTTCGTTAAGACTCACAACCGCCTGCTGTAGTTCTGCTCTGGGTGGAGTTGGAGGTGGGTTAGGGTTTTTCCAGCCATTACATTTACAAGATTCCTCAGCCTGTAATTTTAAGAAAGTGGGGTGGGGAGATAGGGAGACAGAGAGAGAGAGAGAGATCGTACGAGTTTAAAGAATGTATAAACATTCCCCATATTACTAGTAATGCTAGGAAAGGAGAGCTTTTACATTGCCACAACAAAGCTATTTTCTTGACTTATGTAAGATGTGCTTGTGTTTATACACAAACACAGAAGAACAACGTAAGGAAAATCCTTCTAGATCAAACCAGAAATGAAATCCAGTATCCCTGTTCTCAGTGGCCAGCCACATTCATATGGGAAGCCTGAAAAGCAAGACCTGAGCCCAAGGGTCAGCAATCTTTTTCAGCCGTGGGCCGGTCCACCGTCCCTCAGACCTTGTGGTGGGCCGGACTATATGGGGGCGGGGAGGATGAACAAATTCCTATGCCCCACAAATAACCCGGAGATGCATTTTAAATAAAAGCATACATTCTGCTCATGTAAAAATACGCTGATTCCCGGACCGTCCATGGCCCGGATTGAGAAGACAATTGGGCCGCATCCAGCCTCCGGGCCTTAGCTTGCCTACCCCTGCCTGAGCCCAACAGTTCTCAACCCACTTGTGATTCCAAGCAACTAGAATTCACTGGCTCTGACAATGGAGATAAAAGCATAGCTGTCATTGCTACTAGCCATCTTCTATGGATATAAAGACAGAATATTACTCTATGCTCCTGCTCACGTAAGGGGGAAGAAGATGATATTCACCAACATCCCACAAGCATCTGCTACGAAGGGCTGGAGGAGCCTGACGGAAAATAAGTAAAACTCACTTCCCTGCCATCTATCGTGAATGGAAGCCTCTGCTGGATCGTAGCCCCTTCACAAAAGAGTAACTCTGGATCTAAGCCATTCTATAAAGATTACATACAGTATATTCTATATGCAAATTATACATTAGATGTGGAAGAAGTACTAGCTGAAAAAAGTAGGCAACATCGTCAAAGGATCATTCTCCTAGCCATTAACAAACCAAAAGCTACAATGCAATTCTGGGCATGCATTACATCTAATCATGATGTTATAGGTCAATGTTTTCTCACCCTTAAATGATTACACGTGCCAGAAATACTGTGGATTTCTACTGGGAAATTCCCATACATTTTTAATGAAAACTTCCACAAAGGTTAACATTAAACCTTTCATTTGTTTTTCCTGGAGGCCACCAACAATCTCACTATCCCAAACGTAACATGCAGACAAAGCCTGGCATTGCTACTGAAGTAATTCAGTATTTTTTAAATTAATAAAACACATCATAACACACAACACCGTAGTTTTAGAGATATACATTACTGCAAAATTTCCTATTAATATTTTAGTAGCTTGGACTACGCTATTTATGCTAGTAATGTGTTTTTGGACATACTACATATATTACAGGAATCTGCAAACGCCACACAAAAACTACTACTGTATCTTGCAGTCTTTCATGTCTCAATAAGATCAGGCTTTCCCTCTGATCCACGTTTGGATTTTGTTACCTCCCAGTTTAGGAGTTCTAACAGAAAGATCACTGGAATCTGTAACTTTTCATGTTTCAGAACAGAACATATCTGAAAGTTGCGCCAAAGCAACTTCTTTCCAACAACCATTTGTTTTATTTCACTTGCATGACAAATCTGTTGAACATTACAATGTGTTCATTTATTTATTTGCCCTTGGTATGAACTCTGTGTATGTGTATGATTGTTTTTGTGTGTGTGGAGGGGATTTGTTTGTTTGTTTGTTTTACTAAGTATGCCTGTTTTTAAGAAAAACACTGGAAGGGTTGCTGCCCAGGTTTGTAAAGGGTAAGCTTGCTGCTGTGGATCTGTAAATCATTGCTGTAAGAAAAATAAATTTAAAAGCCTCTGCATGGCGTGCGAGCGCGCGCGTACACACACACACACACACACACACACACAGTTTCTCCCAAATATGAATAAGCACTTGATTTTAGAACACTGTGCCATAATTATCCCAGAGCCCCAAACCCATAAAGACTGAGTACCTACACAAAAATGTAGCACTGCACACTAATTAGCATCAGAGATGCAAACAGATGTACCAATATTGTAGTCGGAAGAGCTAAACTGCCAGGAATGAATACCAACCCTCCTACAGGAACAGAGAAAAAAAGTGTTTTGTTTTGCTGGCAGGCATTCGTTGCAGCTCTCAGTTTTATTTCTAGCAAGCTAATTCTTGTTAAACAACCAATCTCGGGTTCCGAAAAGGAAGGGATTGGGAGCAGAGATGCTCATATGCTTCCAAAGGCATCCTGTATGGAGGCCACTAAGGGCTTTAAAGATGAAAAGGGGCACTTTGAATGGTGCTAGGAAACAAACTGGAAGCCAGTAAGGTTCTTTCAGCACAGGTGCTTCCACCAGCTAAGAAAAAAAGCCGCTGCGTTTTGTTTCTGAGTGGTTTTCAAAGGCAGCAAATGGCATTCAGATCCAGCATTCTTGCTGAGGCCATATGCCTTCTGTTCTTGACCCCAGCAGTGAAAATATTTTGCCCTCAATAGTGAGTGCAGCATTCCTAAGGAGTTCAAATTACACCCCGCTGAGTGGCTTTTGAGTCTTTTGCAATGTTTCCTCTCTCGCGCAACTCAATAAAATGTCACTCCTCTGCTTTTCATTAGGAAAGAATGTATGAAATTACCTCTTTTGAGAACTTGAGAGTGATGGGAAGGAGCTGGGGAGAGTAGTTAAAAAATATTTAGTGCCAACGTTATGAAACATTGTACAAATTCTACAGTATGTATATGAGGTTAAGAAATGAAGGCTGTGGGTGCTTAATAGAAGGGGTAGACAACGTGGTGCCCTCTAGATTTTTGGACTCCAATTCAAGAGAGCCAGCCTGTCTCCTCAGGTTGCACAAGCTAGAAGCAAGAGGTGCAGAGAACTTTGCTGTTGATTTAGCTCATGCAGGAGATAGCTCAGTTGGTTAGAATGCGGTGCTGATAATCTCAAGGTTGCACACGCAGGAGATAGCTCAGTTGGTCAGAGTGTGGTGCTGATAATCTCAAGGTTGCAGGTTCGATCCCTGTATGGGACAGCTGCATATTCCTGCACTGTAGGGGGTTGGACTAGAATATGATTCTCAGGGTCCCTTCCAACTCTAACGGTCTATGATTCTATGTACATTCCACTGGTAAGTACGGCCCCAAAATAAGATACAACAAACTGTAGGGCATTGAATTGACTATGTGTGCTTTAGAGTGTTCCACAGAGTTTAATCCACTTGGGCAATGATCATCACTCTCTTAAACAAAGGAAAATTTGTCATGCTAAGGGACGATTACACAGACAAGGAACCATTGCTGAAAATGGCTCCCCTGTGTTGAGCTCCCCCCCACTCCCTCAGAATACGCCAGGTGATTCATGCTCCAAGGTCACCACATTGTGAATTTCTGACCCTTGTTGGTAGGAAAATGTAGGACATAATTATGACAGCAGGATAAGAGCAAGCTTTCCTACATGTTTGGGAGGAACTCAACAGGATGATGTCATTTGGGAAGTGGAGTGTAATGTGTTGTTCAGCCCTCAACATTCAGCCCACGAACTCAGTCAAGCCAAAGTACTTAGCTGAGCACATCTTTGTTTTCTATAATTTACCAATTAACTGGATCATTGTGTAACTTTGCATTACTACCTTCCCTAAACTGGAACTCTAATCAATGAGGAGCCTTGGCTCTCATGAGTCGCCCACATTGGAAAATAAATTACCGTATGGATTTGGTTTATGATGAACATTTTTCTAATGATATGTGCTAGCACAATATATGGATTGCAGATTATATACACCACTCTCAAAGACCACTGTGATTAATCTATATATCCACCACATGTCTAATTATATCTACTGCCCTTTCTTCTAATAAATAGTAAACAGTGAAGTGCTAATAATTAGGAAGATTAATGTAATAATGTTTTGGCTGTGATCCAGAAAGCTGTGAATCTACTTCTGTAAGCACAGAAGGACTGTATTTATTGCCTGACAAGCTGCTCTTGAAAACCAGAGAGTTTCAGAATGAGTAGGTGCTGCTGCTGCTGCACTGAAGAGAGATTTAAGTGGTGAATTCAGGCTTGCCCAAAGAAACTCACAGTCTCCGAAGGTGTTTACGACAACAGGGATCTTTAGTTTCCATTGAGATAGACACACAAATAATGAGACAGAGAGCACAAGTATTCAATTACTATCTTTCACATCTGAGACCTCCTGTACCAAAGTGCATAAGCTCCGTGCACAGAGTCCTCAGTTCAGATCCAAAGGTCAAACTACAAGTGCACTGTTGGAAATCACGTCAAGAGTTTTACAATTCAGAATCACAGGCTTGGGTGGGCATCATTTAACATACGGATGAGGGACCTTTTATCATGCCACGGGCTTTATTCCCATCTCAGTCACATGCCAGTGGTGTTGAGGGCCAAACGCAAATGTGGTTAAAGCAACAAATGTGATTTTTTTTTTACCTTTGGACAGTAGGCTCGTTTCTCTCTCTCTCCTCCATCCAGGCAAGAAAAAACAATGGATTTTTGTTGTTTTAAGAAACACTTCCAAAAATGAACATTCCCAGTATCTCCAGGACTGTTCGTGCATCACCAAATGGGCCTGATTCCTTATCTGCACCCATCCAACCATTTGCCATCTGCCCCAGTTTTTCCTGTAATTTTCCGATCCCTTCAGCCCTAACTGATGCTTCCAATTTGTTAAAAGTAAGCAAGTTATGCAGTTGCAAAGATTAATTCTTCACATTAATTACTGCTGTCAAACAAACGGAATAAAGAGGGATGAGATGTGGATATGCATGGACAAGAGAGAAGCAGACTCACGTTAAACTGTGCAACATGACAAATAGAGACACTTGGAAATCAGACGCAAAGTATAAGATTAGATAGATAGATGATTAGATAGATAGATTAGATGCTAGATAGATAGATAGATTCCCCTTTCTGCCATTACATTTATGGCTACGTGAATGCTTGGGAGGGTAGC